GACTTCACAAATATCTAATTTGAACCAGTGCTGCATTCAACATACCTGTATTTTTTAATATTTACTTTTAAATTAAGAAATTGGATAATGTATTGTACTAAAATGTGAATTATAATCTACAGTTTGATACCAAACTTATTGACATAATATTCATGAAATAGTAGTTAAATACAATTTTAAATGCGAGTCAATGAACGAGATGACATGTCCTTTCACCCATGACCCATCTCAAAAGGGTTAATCAGTCATCATGATAAGACCCTTGGTAAACATGTCATGAGAGAGAAGGAGTCTCAGGAGCCTGAAAAGTGCCTTCAAGCGCAATACCCTTCTCATCGTCCTCAGAATGAGATTACTGGACTGTGCAGTGAGAAAATGCACCAGAGTATGGCAAAAGAAAGGGAAAATGCAAAATATTTATCATTGATAATGGCTGCTACCCCTGACATTTCACACACTGAAAAGAATACCTTTAAACTAAAATAACTTACTAGTGATATGGATGGATACACCTTTGGGAATACTGGGGAAGAGACAGTTGAGATGATTTTAATCTTTCAAAAAGACACCAACATTTTATTTCATGATTTTATGGCCAGAGCTCTGACAATACATCCAACATGTCTGAAAGATATCACTGTGTCCACACTTATCTCAAAATAAAAAAAAAACTCTGCCTGTTTTTCACCTTGAGATTGCCACTCATTAAATCTTTGTGGAACAGATGCAGTTGCATACTGCATTCCAGAAATTACTTTCTTTGGAATGATCCAGATAGTTTACAGTTTATTTGTTTCCAGTGCAAAAAGATCAGAGCATCCCTTCACTGACACTGAAATAAGATGGACCACCCATATCACAAGTGTTAATCCTTTTGCCAACTTTCTGCCTAGGATTATATCAGCTTTGAAAGAACTCAATCTGACTGCCAAGGCACAATCTGAGGCTTTAGGATCAAATAAGCTATCTCAAGTGATTCTAATACATCATTATGTCTGCTCTTTTGTACAAGGTCCTTGCTGCCATCAGAGTTGAAGTGAAAAACTTCAACAATCTGATCACGGATTTGAAGACCTTATGACACCAATGGCCATTAATTCTTCAAGAGGCAAAGCTTGTTGTAAACAGCATGAACACAGACGTTTCTTTCATTTCTCTCCCTGAGAATTGATATAGAAAAAGAAAGGGTTTTCACAATGAGGCCAAGGAGGAGCCAGAAGATTCAAAATATAATGAAACTCGCTTTATGGAGCATGTTTTCCCCAAAATCATCATCTCGGTCTTACAGAATTTAGTGAAAAGATACAATGCTATAAATGACATTTAAAAGTTATTTGGATTCCTGTAGTTTTATCTTGAAATAGATGATGATTAAATCTGCCTTATGTTTGTGAGTTTTAAAAAAAGGATATTGTAATGGGAGATCTTCAAGAAAAAGCCAAGAATCCCAAATCCACACATCATGCAAATATTGGCAAATCATCTCTTGGTCCCTAAAAGCTCACCAACACCATTTCCAAGATGATATTTAATACCATCTTCCAAATGTGTGTGTGTATATTCCTCTAAGAATCTCTCTGACTCTTCCTGTTACAGTTACAACAGCTGAACATTCATTTAGTAAACTGAAATTAACCATAAACTACTTAACCCTCTCACTATGAGGTTGGTCAATTTGACTGAGTCACATGACCTTTGCACTTGTTTAAAGTCTTTATAAATTTAATACTTATAATTCTCAATATATTGGGTATATCTTCATGAAATTTGGCAGTGTTTCAGT